CCAGTCATTATTCAGATTACTGAGTTTTCACAAAAATTGTGTAATTTGCCAGCAGATGAATGCTCTTCATTGGGATAAAGGGAAACAAAACTTCTCGTTAGTTCTGTATTCCATCTCCTCTGTCTTGTGGTTGGTGTCTCCAGTTTCCCAACTCATGAGATACCAAGTCATGTAAGTTGGAAGTTAATTTATTCCAGTTGTCTGCTACAAGTGCATTCTGATTCCTCAATAAATAAATGTACAGTCAAAAACAAATTGAAGTTAAACTAAAGGAACTTAGGATAGCATGTATTTTGTTGGTGGTTGAATTTGTTAACCAGTATTCATAAATGTTGTTAATAAAAATTTGATGTTTTTCTCCTTATAAGTGGAAAAATAAATATTTGTCTTCTGTTCCCAGACCACATTGTAAGGATACTTTAGCAAAGCTTTTGATAAGGTCTCCCACAATATTCCTTCCAGCAAGTTAAGGAAATATGTGTTGGTTAAATGGACTGTAAGGTGGATAAAAAGCTGGCTAGATTGTCAGGTCCATCGGGTAGTGATCAATGGCTCTATGTCTGGTTGGCAGTCAGTTTCAAGTGGAGTGCCCCAAGGATCGGTTCTAGGGCTGGTTTTATTCAACATCTTCATTAAATGACTTGGATGAGGGGATGGATTGCATCCTCAGCAAGTTTGCGGATTACACTAAGCTAGGGATAGAACTAGATACGTTGGAGGGCAGGGAGAAGGTCCAGAATGACCTAAGCAAATTGGAGGATTGGGCCAAAAGAAATCTGATGAGGTTCAACAAGGACAAGTGCAGAGTCCTGCACTTGGGACGGAAGAATCCCAAGCATTGTTACAGGCTGGGGACCAGCTGGCTAGGTAGCAGTTCAGCAGAAATGGACCTGGGGAATACAGTGGATGAGAAGCTGGATATGAATCAACAGTGTGCCCTTGTAGCCAAGAAGGCTAATGGCATATTAGAGTGCATTAGGAGCAAAACTAGAGAAGTGCTTATTCCCCTTTATTTGGCTCTGGTGAGGCCACATCTGGAGTATTGCATCCAGTTCTGGGCCCCCCACTATAGAAAGGATGTGGACGCATTGCAGAGGGTCCAGCGGAGGGTACCAAAATGATTAGGGGCTGGAGCACTTGACCTATGAGGAAAGGCTGAGGGAGTTGGGTCTATTTAGTCTGCAGAAGAGAAGAGAGGGGGGGATTTGATAGCAGCCTTCAACTTCCTGAAGGGAAGTTCCAAAGAGGATGGAGAGAGGCTGGTCACAGTAGTGACGGATGGCAGAACAAGGAGCAATGGTCTCAAGTTATAGTGGGGGACGTCTAGGTTGGATATTAGGAAAACTATTTCACTAGGAGGGTGGTGAAGCACTGGAATGGGTTACCTAGGGAGGTGGTAGAATCTCCATCCCTAGAGGTTAAGTCTCGGCTTGACAAAGAAAGCCCTGGCTGGGTTGATTTAGTTGGGGTTGTTCCTCTTCTGGGCAGGAGCTGGACTCGATGACTCCCGAGGTCTCTTCCAGCCCTATGGTTCTATGATTCTAATGAAAATGATGTGATTATTTTGAAGTATGGAAAGCAAAACTGGATTTCTGACGATATTTCCAGTCTAAACATACTTTAGCTAGTCTCTTTCAAATACATAATGCACTTCTAAGCATGAATCTGTTGCTTCTGAAAATTAAAGTCTTGTGAAATACATTCACTTGTTTTCCTGAATTGATATGAAAATATTAATCTAGCATCAGTGATCATGTAAAAATCTTATTGGCAACGCTTGTGTAACGTCAGGCAATGCCTCTTAATCATATTCACATTTCTGCTTCTTCAGTACAATCTTAGATTTGCTTTCTCTGGACTTCTCTTCAAGATCACAACTTTTTCTTTCTGTATGGCCCATGTACTCTTTAGGGTCTTCCTAGAAAGTTTATGCTGTATCTGTGATTATCCTGTGAAAATGTGAGCATGACATGAGCATGTATGTGGAAGATACTCTGTTTAATGGAAGACCCTGCTTTTGGGGATGCTACCAGTAGAATTGATAGGTCATATTATGCATAAATCAAAAGAAAAATCTAGGGTTGAGGTTTTAATTTTCTCTGTTGGAGTGTGATTGCTTTGGAAGTTCCTTGTTTATCCACAATTCCATTGTGTAGTAGTCTAAGTTAATGGCTGGGTGCTACGTTGTCGATGGTTTTTGTGCAACTCTGTAAAGGAGTCTTATCTATCTCTGTACTTTTTCACATGATTATCCATCTGTGGGACTAAATATTGGGCCTAATTCACTCCAGCTTCTTTAAAGGGTCCGCAATAGTAGAAAGCTTGACTAAGATGAGTGACTTTATTCAAAGTCACAAAAAGTTATGCTTTTCTGGGCTGCTGGTGCACAGTTTGGGAGCACTGAGCTGTAGGGTGTGAAGTCCATAGTAGGCCTGCAACTCTTAGTCTAGCAGCTGCCCTCTTTGTGAAATCAAGCTCTGCTTTCCAGGGACTGGGCATGGCTAGACCATCTTAATCAATACAGCTCATAGATTTAAGGCCAGCAGGGACCATCATGATAATCTAGTCTGACCTCCTGAACATTGCAGGCCCCAGAGCTTCACCCACTCACTCCTGTAATAAACCCCTAGGCTCTGGCTGGGTTCCCTAAGCCCTCAAATCATGATCTAAAAGGTATTGTATTACAGAGACTCCACCTTTTACACTAGCTTAAGCCTGCAATTGACTAGTGCCCCATGGACAGAGAAGGGCAAACCCCCCCCCCCCCCCCCCCCCCAGCCTCTGCTGATCTGACTTGGGGCTGGAGGGTGTCCTTTCTGACCTCAAATGTAGTTATTGGTAAGACCCAGCAGCCAGACACCTGGGAAAGAATTTTCTCTGTAGGTAATTCAGAGCCCTCCACATCATCAGCCATTGGAGATATTTGCAGCCAGTGTTTGCAGGTCAGCTACATGCCATTGTAGGCAGCCCTGTCCTACTACCCTCTCCATGAACTTATCTAGCTTAGTCTTGATTTTGTCCTCATAGCTCCCCTTTGGAGGCTGGTCCAGAACTTTATTCCCCTGATAGTTAGAAACCTTCATCTCATTTCAAAACTAAATTTGATGGCCAGTTTGCAGCCATCTGTTTTTGTGTTCACATTTATTCTTAACTTTAAATAACTCCTCTTCCTCCCTGGTATTCATCAGTCCTGTGTATTTATAGAGAGCAATCACACCTCCGCTTTGCCTTCTTTTGGTTAGGCTAAACAAGCCAATCTGAGTCCTCTCTCACAAGGTAGGTTCTCGTTCCTTTGATCATCCTAGTAGCCCGTCTCTGCACCTGATTCAGAGAAGGTCTCTTCTCCTATCCTCTTTCTGAAACATGGGAAACCAGAATTGCACACAGTACTCCTGAGGAGGTCTCACCCGTGCCCTTGTAGAATGGTACTAGCACTTCCCTGTCTCTACTGGAAATACCTCGCTGGATATGTCCTAAATTTGCATTAGTCTTTTTCACGCCACTTCACACTGGCGTCTTTCATCCTTCGATCAACCGGAACACCCAGATCATGCTCCTCTGTTGCTTCCAACTGCTACATCCTCTGCTTAAAGCAAAAATTTGTGTTGTATGTTCCTAAATGAATTAAATTTCATTCCATGTCTGTTACTATGATTTACCAGGTCCTCCTGATCATTTTGTATGGTATTCTGGTCCTCCTCTGTATTGGCAATACTGCCCAACTTTGTCATCTGTAGATTTTATTAGCACACACTCCCTTTTTTGTGCCATTGTCAGGAGCAAAATATATTTGGTCCCAAGGACCAATCCCTGAGGAGCTCCATTAGTTCAGAACTAGGGGCTGAGCAGTTGTAATGCTGACAAGTAGAATTGAACCTGGGAACTCTGGAGCTTAGGGCATGAGCCTCTAGCGCATGAGCTACAAGCTAGCTGGCTGGTAGCTAAGGCTGTAGAGTAGACTCACTATTCTCTCTATTACTCTCTCTATAAGTGGTCCCAGTGCCACTAGATGGACAGTACAGCACACCCAGAAGATGTGTGGGTTACACTGGCAGGGTGGCTCCTGCCAGCTTCTGTTCGACAGGCTCTTGACAGAAGATAATGGTTTTCAAATAGCAGTGGTACACCCCACTATTTGAAAACCTTTGTGTTAATTGAGAAGCCGAAATCAGGGTTGGGGGGAACGGGACCATGTGCAAATAGCATCATCTCTACCACACAGAGTGAACTTGGATTTCTCTTTCTTCCACATGCTGCACCTGATCCTCTGTTACCAGTATTGAGAGGAGAGAGTCTCTCAGAAGAGATTTCTGCTCCTGTCCTCTTTGTTCACGCCTCTCTCCTCAACCCTCCTGGTTTTAATAGGTGTTGAGGATTGGGAGCCTGGAAGTGGTTGTTACAGGGCTTTGACCTTCACCTGATGTGTGTCTCACTCCTGGGCAGTCAGTAGGGTAGGCAAGGGAAGAAATAGCCTTCCCAAAACTGCCTACACACCCAATCCTGTAAGGCTGGGGCTGCCACTAGGGAAGGCTAGGGCCATGGCATGGCAGCCTGGCTCCCCCCATGGCTAGGAAGGATCCGGCTGTGAGTGGGCAGGGCTTGGCTCCAGGGGTGGGGCCTCGGGCAGAAGGCGGGGGAAAGCTGGATTATAACTGATTACATTACTTGACTAAATGAATATGCAAACATTTTTGCTTTTACAATATGCATACAATTTCTTAAAACCTTATCAAAAGTCTTGTTTTGTAGCCCATTAGAAGATGTCATCAGTGAGTAAGACAGGCAGCCGTGAACTTGGCAATTTTTCCCCTGCGATAGTATTACACGTATTAGTAAAATTATAGAAAAAATTGAGGATCCTGTAAACAGTTGGTTTTCCTGTTAGGTACTTCATCCTTTTGATTTTTGCTTTTGAAACTTGCTTGTGAAACTAAACCTTTTTGTTACAAATGGTTTAGTTCAATTTGTTAATTTTTTTTTTTTTTTTAAATCTTTGCCAGGACGGGAGCAATTTCATGGCCTTGGTTCTATGTACTGTAGAGGAGCAGCTGCTGTGATCCTTACGTATGATGTAAACAACTTGCAAAGCCTGATAGAACTGGAAGACAGATTTTTGGCGCTGACGGACACTGCTAGTACTGACTGTATCTTTGCTATTGTTGGAAACAAAGTTGACCTCACAAATGAATATGCCTTATTGCTAGAAAGAGCAGATGAAAGTAGACCTGAAAAGCCTGTCACCAGTTGCATCTCTACCAAGGTCCAGAAACAAGTCCATCTGGATGATGCTGTTGCACTCTACAAAAAGATACTGAAATACAAAATGTTGGATGAGAAGGACGTTCCAGCAGCTGAGAAAATGTGCTTTGAGACCAGTGCAAAAACAGGATATAAGGTGGACTACCTCTTTGAAACCATATTTGATATGGTAGTACCAATAATTTTACGGCAGCAAGCTGAGGGGCCACCACAAACCGTGGACATAACCAATTACAAATCAGCAAAAAGGACAAAATCTGGTTGTTGTGCCTAAAATAGTGGTGATGTGGGGAGGGAGGAGATTGTGTCTATATGATATACTAGTGATCCCGAAGTTAGAGATGCTCATTCCTTGATTTGCCCTCTCTCTACAACTATAAGTGATCTAGGGATGGAATATGCAGAACAGCAAATCTTTTGAAGACTAAAGGCATTTGGAAACACCAACCTAATTAATTTATTTATAAATAACAAAAATGTGAATGGGATCATGGGGGTAGATTGTAAATTTCATAGGGCCCTTGGGTGGAGGAGAGATCATAATGAATGTTGGAATGTATGCTGTGGTACTGTGTCCATGCAGATTATTATTGACTGAGAGTTAAGCACTCTCAAAGGAATCCTGCTTTATTTTTTTTTAGAATGCATTGTTTTTTCTGTACTTAGTATACTACATCTAAAGTGTCTCTGGATTGACTTTCACTTTTGTACTAGATATGACTTTCACTTAAAAATTATAACTTTTCTTCTGGGGACGATTTAGATATGAGGTACTTTTTTACGCTTTACAAATGATTTTTTTCAGAATATAAATTATATGGAAAGGTCACTAATCAAGCTATTCAATTATCCTTCTGTACCAGATACTGCAATAAAAGATGTACTATTAAAGTTACTGTGGAAATGAGGTAGGCCTTTTGAGGATTTATTAATGTACATCCTGGTACCTTAACAGTCAGTCCTTCTCTACATTAACCAGGGATACCACTCTCCTGTGCTACTGAATGGATGGTACGAAAAAAATGTATTGGCACTTACACTCCTGCTTTATGTAGAGAGATGTGTCCCCCATGTGAAGTGTTTGATACATCTCCACATCCCCATCTCCCCTTAGCTGAGGTTAGGAAAAATTGCACGTGGCAGTGTGTGATTTCACCATACAAGTTCCGTAAGTAGGAGGGAAGTGAAGATCTGAGTTTTCTGATGTGAAACACAAGCAGATGACTGTTTTTGGAGGGTGTGGGAGGTGAACTGAAAGTGACCTTTGTACACCCTAAAGGAGCATTTCAGCACACTGACAAGCTTTCTTTTGTTGCCGTTGAGAGGACTGTTAAGTCTTTATTACTGCTCTGAGTGTCTTAGCATAAAGAAGGGGATCATCCAGTATCTCATACAGAGATGTGATAAACAGGGATCAGCGGGGACCCAGAGGATTTTGGAGGCCTAGTAACATCTGATACGGAGGCCTCCTTTCTTTCTAAAGGCTTACAAATGATGGAAGGCCCTGGGATGGTGGAGAGGCACTCCCCCCACAGTGGTAGTTCCTGTCCTAGGCCACTGGGCTCAACTCTCCACTCAAGGGATATGTCTATACTGGTGGGTTGTTGTGCCAGAGATATGCAAATGAGGCTAAGCGTGGAATATTGCTGAGCCTCATTTGCATAACTAATGAGCTGCCATTTTTGCGGAAGAGGCTCTTGCGCCAGAAGGAGCGTCTACACTGCCTTCTTGCGCAAGAAAAACCCTCTTGCGCAATGCAGCTATACTGATTATTTTCGCTCCTTCTGGCACAAGAGCCTCTTCCGCAAAAATGGCAGCTCATTAGTTATGCAAATGAGGCTCAGCAATATTCCACGCTTAGCCTCATTTGCATACTTCTGGTGCAACAACCTGCCAGTGTAGACATAGCCAAGGGATTGTGACCTGGTGTGCAGGCTCACAGTGGCACTGATTTGATTGGCCCTCCATTGTTGTGACAGAGGGGCCCCTGTTCCAGGTTGCAATACTCCCTATTTGGGGTCTGTGTCAAATAGGGGATCCCAGAGCAAACTGCTCACTCCTCAGCCGTTCTGGAAATAGGCAATAACAAATGTAGACCCTAATCCTTGAAGTCCTTCATGTGTGTGGAACCCCCAAGGATTTCAACAGGAATCCTGCACATGGAGCTGCGATACAGTCAGTCCCCAGACAGGGATGTGGACACCTGCTCACTCACCCACACCAAACCAAGGTTATCCAACACAGAAGGAGACCATTCTGGAGTAGCCAAGTATTAAAAGTCATTACCGGATAGTAATTAAAACCTCTGTAAAAATCTGTCCTGCTGAGCAACTTTTTGCAAAGGGGCTGATCTGAACATTTAAAACAGCATCTATTATTGCCATTACCATGATTTAAAGCTGGTGCCATGTAATGTGATGAAATATAGTTGCTGTCCTGAACATTTTGACTTTTAAAAGTTCTATATTCTTGGGCCTGCTAGTCTGCTCCATTATATGTTTTGGAAGTTTATTTATCAAACCAGCAGAAACATTAAGTATAGCTGTTGTATATTAAAACCCAGCGCTTTCCTTGCTTACCAGCCAAGACCAAGTGACCCCCTTTGTTTGGAGTCTCCATAGTACTGATAATGATGGAAATATGGTGCTGCTTCAGGCTGAAACACAGCCAGTAGGTCTGGTCTCCACAACATCAAGAATTAAGAGGATGGCTGAAAGCGCCTCTTCCCTAAGGCTACACACTCTGCAAGATACTGCCTGGTGGTACTGGAAAGCTCTTCCTTGTTTTGCCTAATGACCCTGAAGGCTCTCAAAGCAGAGTGGACATCTTGTAGGTAGTTGAGATCAGACTTGCAGGAAGTAAGTGAAGGTGGAAGCACTTTAATTGTAGATGTTAAAGATGCTAACATTTTTGGAGCTGCCTTTATTTGGTTCCTTTGCAATCAGGTCCAGTAACATGTTTACCAGCTAATTTAACTTGGCAGATTTGGGGCACGCAGCCAAGGGCTCAATCTCAAGTTTCAATAGAATGTGACATTAAAGCACAGAAGAGAGAGATGTTCTCTCATTTCATTCTTCTAGGCACAAAAACATGTCACGATGTAGGATTGTTTTAAAAAGCAGAGTTTAGGACAAACAGCATGTTTTAAGCAATGAGTTTCTTAATCTTGAATAAAAGGCAGACTTGTAGCTTGAATAGTCATTTTTACACTCAGACTAGATTATAAGAATTATAAACTCAAGATGTTGAGTGGTATACCTATGGCTGACAGGAGCCTGTGTATTGCAACACACTTCAGCTGGGTGGTTTGTGGCACTTAAACTCCTGGGTGACTGCTGAAGCCGCTCAAGTGCCTTAGAATTTCTAGTATCCTGAGTGACTTGAAGTGCACAGAAGCTGAAGTTTCCCTAACTCAAGAACACTAAATACAAAATCTCTCATTCATGCAATGGTTAGGCTTAAAAAAAAAATCAAGTATGCAGTGCTCAGGCTGCACAAAAGCAAATGCTACCGTCGGCTTCCCTTATTCCTGGCAAAAGCAGGAGTACTGGACACAAGTGAGGGTGCCCTGTGAGTTAGATTTTAGCGAGTCCTTAACTAGACTCACTAAATTGAAGTCCAGGAGATCGATTGCGGTAGTGTCGATCTTAGGCAAAGTGAAGACCTTGCCTAATGGCTTAAAGTTAGCCGATGCAAATATTAGGTGGCTTTGCCTATTAGGGAAATTGTCCATTTTGGTGCCTCCACTGCAAATGCCAGAGGGCTTTGCCATAAGTTGGGCAAGTTACTCAATCTTTGTCCTTGTCCCTTGCCTGTGCAATAGAGACATTGAGGATAAACTTACTATTTGTGGGTGGATCTAAAATAAGAAAATATGTCCTTGCAGAAAACATACTAGCTAAGAATTCTTTAAATACACCCACATGGCTATGCTTTTCATCATGGTTCAGCTCCTCTGCTCTTCAATTTTACAACCCATTATAGATTCTATGGCTAATCCCTATCTCAATATTCCATTGAACTTGTCTATATTTGAAATGTCACACTGGAAGAATTATTCTGTTGTCCTGAAACTGTCTAGCCCAGGGGTTAGATCACTTTAACTGAGGACCTCACTCCTGAGGTAGACAGGTCTAGGGATTCAGGAGTGTGGATTTTTCACTTGTCTGTGGTGACCAATTTTTAGTGTAGACCAGGCCTCAGAGCTGTGTGGCCTCAGGTAAAGATAATGTAAGCAACTGATGAAATTCTCTCTCCTTATAAAATAAGGATGGATGGAAAAGCACCTTAGTTAGCAGCCTCTCTCCAAAACTGTGTATGTGTCTCCAGGCCCACCAATGAGAGGGGGGAGGGAGAGGGAAAGCTAAAGGTGTAATTGCCTCAGGGTCCAGCCATTCTGGTGCTACTGCCTTGAGCCTATTAAATTGCTGCTGGAGCCCCATGCTTCTGTGCAGCTCTGAAGGCTGGAGTTGGGGCATGGCATACTCCAGGGAATGCAGAGGGCTGGCCCCGTTGCCCCTTATGGAAGCACAGAGCTGCCCTCCCACCTTAACCAGGTGCCCATGGAGACTCTCAGCTCTCCTGTGTGTCTCCAGCTGACAGACTGAGCAAACCCCTGCTTGGTTAGATAGTTGGAATTTAGATTGAAGAAGCCCGTTGGCTACCTTTTGATATTTCTCCTGGCTTTGATACTCATTTTTAAAATGAGTATCAAATTAACACTGGCTTTGATACTCATTTTAAAAAAAAAATCCCAAACCAAACAAATCCAAGCTAACAGCTATTAAAGTAAGCTGTGCAAATATGAGAGAGCCTGGCATATGTATAGAGAACTGAAACAATCAACAAATAGAGGTATAGAAAAATATTTATTTAAGATAATTACAGCAACAAGGGATCACAATTAGAAAACTCAACAATAACTGAAGAAGGGGAAAGGTGAACTGTATAAGGAGAAGTTAAAACTGATGAGATAACTACAGATTATTTTCAAGCCAGTGCACTAAGTGTACATAGTACTTCTGACCCTTGCTAATAAATGTAGCTCCCCTCCCCACAAAAAATCTTGATGAAAACATTTAAATGTAATAGTATTTATCATGCTCATTACTATGCTGCATAAGAGCCTCACAAGAAAATATGCAAGGGAGTTATCATTATCTAGTTCTTTCTTCTCTCTCAGGTCATGAGGGATATAGCATACCTCTGGGTATAATGTTTTCTTTCTACAGGAAAAAGCAATTCATTTTTGTGACTGGCAAATAGAGGTGTGAAAGTGTAACCATGTACACAATGTTGAGCCTGGACTCATTGATTAACATTCATGGTTACATGCAGGCCCTATTTGCCACACTGCTGTCTCTGTATCAGAGGCAACAGTGTAAGGGAGGGGCAGGCGGGAGCCAGTATGCGTGAGGAGTCAGCTTTTAAGCTGGCTTCCGCAGAACCACTTCTCCATGGTTTTGCCTCTATAGCAGAGGTAGCAGCATGAAGAGGGGAGAGGGGGAACGGGATGTGGGAACCAGTGCACATGGGGAGCTGGCTTAAAAGCTGGCTCTCCAAACATATGGGCTCCTGCAGAGCTGCCTGTCCTGGCTCCCGCACACATCACTCCTGCCTCCCTCACCCACACTTCTGCCTCTGATACAGAAGCTTCAGGGGGTAGCTGAGTTAGTCTGTACAGGCAAAAACAACAAATGGTCTGGTAGCACTTTATAGACTAACAAAACATGTAGATGGTATCATGAGCTTTCGTGGGCACAGCCCACTTCTTCAGATGACCGGAGAGAGATGATACAGAGACAGCAGTGCAGGGTGGTAGGTGGGAGCCTCTTGCCCCTTGCAAATTCAGCGGTTACATGGTTACTTAAATAAATGCATTTTTACATCCCTAGTAGCAAACTGAGTAGACCTTTTGCAGGAGGCAGAGGCTACCCAGCGACAGACTCTGTGGATACTCAGCAGATCTTGTACCCATTTCTAGAGCTTTTAAAGAAAAACTGCAAGAAACCCCTCTAAGTGACTTCCAGCCCCTCCACATGCCCTTCTTAGCAGTACACCTCACTGGTTATGTTATAGTCTAGCAGCACCTTAAAGACTAACAAAACACGTAGATGGCATCATGAGCTTTTGTGGGTACTACCCACTTCATCAGATGACTGGAGTACTGAAAGTCCAAGGTGGGGGGGGGGGGAAGAGGAAAAAAATAGTGAACTGGATTGTTCAATATTTTCTGGGTTTTTTTTCTCCCCTGCCTTCTGTTATTTATTATTTGATCTGGACTTTCAGTACTCCAATCATCTGAAGAAGTGAGCTGTGCCCACAAAAGTTCATGATGCCATCTACATGTTCTGTTAGTCTTTAAGGTGCTGCTAGATTATTTGTTGTTTTTTTATGTGTTCCAGTTACAGACTAACTCAGCTACCCCTCTGAAGCTTTTGGTTATATTATATCATCCTCCAGCTGCATGCTGCGTCACAGATGAAGTTGATAGGTTGAAGGTTGCAGACCTGAAGATGAGACTGTATTGAGTAATATCAACTTCAGCTGGGAATCACATAGGATTAGTTTTCCAGGGGAGTATGTTGTAGAGTGACTGCTCCACAACCATATAACCAAATTCATGTGGCACCCTAGCCACACAATGTAATTAAGTATAGGAAAAGCTCTGCCATCTAGCATTCAGTTAACCAGAAAGCTCAATTAACTGGCATTACTGGTATCTCCCAATACAAATCTTCAATCTAGTGCTTGTACAGCACATTATGCAGTTGCAAATTCTGCACTCTGCTTTTATGCAAAAGAGGCAGAAGCAAAGTAAACAAGCTGAAACCAGGGATTTATTCAAAAAAGCAGCTTCCAGGGTGTGTCACTGGGCTGATTCTGTAATGACCCTGTCTCCTACCTTCTACATTTACAGTGATAACTGATGTTGATAATAATGACCTTGAGATACTGCAAGATCCTGAAGTGCTTCTGACTCAAAGGAAGATTAGATTGTGGCCAGTACAGTTTGTGTTAAGTGTATTTTTAGTGATCTGGGTGTAGAACATAGTGATAGGTGGTGTTGTAAGATAACTGAGAGCGCTGTAAGAACCCAAGCACTGAGTGCTACTACGAGATTAGAGAGTACAGATATACTGGTTTATATTTCATTCATTTTATTGTATTCTAATTCTTTGAAAACTGGTGTTCCATTGGTAAAATAGAACTCTTGGTAAACCAGAATCTTTGATTAACTGGCACCCATCATAATCTCCCACATGCCAGTTAACAGAGCTTCTACTGTATATTGCATGGCTGTTAAAGGAAGAAAGCACGAGGCACTTTAGCACGAAAGCACTTCTCTCCTGCTTGTGGATCGGTGTATCCCGTGGACATTTATCCTGTGCCACACAACAGAAAGGAGCAAGGCCCACGGTAGTTATTCTGGGATGTGGAATACAGTGGGGAAAATGTGGTAAGTTTGTGAAGTAACATGCTGCCATTGGTAATGAACTGTTCTCATTGCAAGAAGAGAATAATAATAAATGTGGCTACCTGAGATAATTCAGAATATTTATGAAATCTCTGATGGTAAAAGTGATTGGGCAAAAAGAATGGCAAAGGTATGGGGAGTTTAAAACAACCTCTTTCCATTGTAAGTGCCCAGACATTAGTTCTTATTAAAGTAAAAGGTAAGTTCAAAGGCAGGGCTTGGGTCTCCGATCTATGAATATTTCCCAGAGTTTAGCCCTATGGTATGCTAGCACTTACATTTTACTATTGTATGTTACCACTTAATTAATATGAACTACGCCTGTTAGTTTATTGCTAAGAGAAGAAGTACATTTAATTTAATATTTACATTAAACAGGTTAGAGAATGGATATACCCAAGAGAACTGTTAGATTAGTAATTGGATAGGTATTGTGGGCTTTTTTTGGTTTTCAAGTTTGACTCAATTAGCAAATAACATGGTGTTAGATGAGCAAAATATAGTGTATTCTGGGAGGAGCAGCCAGTATTTGGTATAAGTGTTTTGTGTTTTTACAGACACTTCTCAATCAACTTTTCATTCAGCTTTTGAGGTAATAAGTTAAATAAGCACCACTGATTTTTTTTCTAAAGGTTTCGAACATTGTTGAAACATTTTCCTTTTACAGCTAGGGATTATTACTATTATTATTCTTTTTTTACAAATTTTTCATGCAGACTTGACATCTGCTGATATGAGTTCTGATGAGACCTGCCTTCAACGTATCTGCTGAGGGAAAGCTCTGGAATTCCTGGTTAATAGTGGTAAGCCAGAAGCTATACTTGTTTGCATAGTAGTGGCAGGTTCCTCGGGCACCATTGCATTCAATGAAAGGAGTAGCTCTGAAGTCTTCCAGACAGCTCCCAGGAGAAACCAGTGACTGTCCTCCACCTTCATCACCAGCTCCAGTGTGCTATGAGACACAAAGAAGGTAGTACTTAGCTATAGGACAGGGCTGTGCAAATTACTGCCTAGATCAATACTGTCAATAAACAATGGGTGGCAGAGAAAGGAGACCAAGGGTAGAATGACTTTTAAATCTATTACCTGTAAGAGTTCCCTACTGAGGCTTACAAAGGGCTAGTCTTGCAAACCTCATGCTCATGTTAAAGTTAGTAGAATAAGATCCTTAGCCAACCAGTTTATCTACATTATCCATTTTAAACCTATTTAAGTTAATTTACTCCAGACATTTAAAATTTCATTGCACTGAAGACGGATGAGAAAATTTTCAACTATGAGTTTGCAGCAGAGAGAGAATTTGCTAATCAACCAATTTACTATATCTCACACATTCATAAGCTATATTAAAAGAATGGAAATTGTTTGTTTTAATCAAAGGGTTTTCCCCTATCCGTAAAACAAATTAACATTTGTATCAAACAGGGTACGTTATGTCATGTTCATTGTATAACCCACACTCTTCAAATGGCATAGGTAAGCAAAACTGACATGTAATCATTACTTACCTCTTTAAGAACAGGACTATAAAGACTAACAGCACTTTAAAGACTAACAAGATGGTTTATTAGGTGATGAGCTTTCGTGGGCCAGACCCACTTCCTCAGATCAAATAGTGGAAGAAAATTGTCACAACCATATATACCAAAGGATACAATTAAAAAAATGAACACATATGAAAAGGACAAATCAAATTTCAGAACAGAAGAGGGATTGGGGGGAGGTAAATGTCTGTGAGCTAATGATATTAGAGGTGATGACAGACATTTACCTCCCCCCACCCCGCATCCCCCTTCTGTTCTGAAATTTGATTTGTCCTTTTCATATGTGTTCATTTTTTTAATTGTATCCTTTGGTATATATGGTTGTGACAATTTTCTTCCACTATTTGATCTGAGGAAGTGGGTCTGGCCCACAAAAGGGTAATCAAGTCGTTGAGACAATGTCCTTTCTGGTTGAAATGGCAAGAAACTGTTTTTTCTTTGTGATCCTGTCTAATATCCACATATTCACTCTGCTGATACCATTATTGGACCTAACCAAGTGAGTTATAAGATCAAGAACACATATTCCTGCGCATCCAGAAATATAATTTATGCTATCATGTGCCGAAAGGTCCATCTGCTATGTACATTGGACAAACGTCTCAGACACTTTGCCAAAGAATCAATGCCCACAAAACAGATATTAGACAGTATCACAAAGAAAAAACAGTTTCTTCCCATTTCAACCAGAAAGGACATTGTCTCAATTTAAGTCATTTACTTCCAGGGAAATGATGACTTCACAGTTAGATTTTTGTGAAGTTGCCTTCACATTTCTTCAATCACAGCTGCAGCCTGTGACACTCATGTGATCCAGGCTTATCCTGAACAGAATCAATCAAGAAAACATTCTGAGCTTTCTTAATGATCTAGCAACTGCTAATGTGCTCAAAAGGAAATCTGATTTCTTTTCACCAGGACTCTGAGGCTGCAACAGGATCCAGCCAGGCACACCGAAGTCCTACCAACTTCAGCAGGGGTCCGGTTGACCTATTCTCATCGCTTTGCGGGACAGATCCCTTACACTGACACTAATCTGCCATTTTATTGAAACCAAGGTAGTGGTAGTGTAACATCATCACATTGAATATGCCTTTCTTGAGACTGTCAGGACCATAGCGTATTACATGTCTTATTCTACAGAATTCAAAAAACCTACACTGTATAATCATGCCACTAGCCATTGCTGGATCACTAGTGCACTTATCACTAGTGGACACAGATCAGGACACTAAACAGTTTTCTCCTGTAAAACTTAATTTTTGGCACTTCGCTTGGTAGCAAAAGGACTTTGTCCTGGGAAATCAACCTCTTGTTGCTAAGCCTGAAGCTCTCTCTCCAGGAATGCTTAGAACTTAGACAAGGTGTTTACAAACACTTAGCTTAACCAAGCCTCACAACACTCCTGTGAGATGCGCAGTTCTATATAGGTTTTAATACCCGGCTTATCACCTCTTCAAGGTGGCTAACTCCTGTCAGAGCTTGTTCATTCGCCCTCTCCACAGAGGGAGAAGCATTCAGGGGCGGATATAGGGCAGGGCGAGCGGGGCGGCCGCCCCGGGCCCCGTGCTTCAAGAAGCCCCGCGCATGCGCCGTGGCAAAGGGGGGCCCTGCAAAATGGTCATCTGCCCCTGGAAGCATGTACAGCTTGGTGTTTTGTTTTGGTAGCGTCCTTTTTTATATATAAGGATGATGCCTGCTGCCATGTGCATGTTAGAGAAGGCAAGACCAAAGAAATGTGCCTTGCACATGGTGCAGAAAGTGGTGAGGTCTGTGATAGTTCTTAGTTACTGGGGAACTTCCTTCCAGTCTGGGACTGGACCCTGGTGAAAGTTCTATTCCCTTACCCAGATGAGCTTGACTAGTGGTAGGAATTCCATCCGATCAGAGGAGCAAAGTTGTACACCAGGATCTCATCCTGAGCTCTAGAGCAGTGCTACTCAACTTTGAGTAAGGGGACTGTTGGCCCCTTACTAAGACTCTGTGGGATTTTTGGTTGGCCAGCTCTCAGTATCAAAAGGGGAAGGGTCCATGAGAAATCAGGGCCCTGAGACTGACAGACTCCAGGGACAATGGAAAGCAGCCAACACTCCTGCTCAGCCCGACTGATAGGTTGGACAGGCCGGTGAGGAAAGTAAGAGGCCAGGCCCCGTCCTCCCTGTGAGCTGGGATTTTTCTGGGTCTGTGGGAGAAGAAGAGAGAGCTAAGAGGAGCAAGCTGTGTGGAGAGGCAGTCCTGCAGCAACAGAGCCAGGCACACACAGCCCAAGGAGTGCAGACCCTGTGTGGAGCAGCAGACTGGCAGTGATCAGAGAGCCAAAGGGGACAGAGAAGCAACACAAGGAGCTGGAGACTGGCAAAGCAGCACAGTCTGCAGCTGGGTGTGGTGAGCAGCTGAGACCAACAAAGTGGGGGGAGAGGCTCTGGGCAGGGACACGCCACCAGCCAAGAGGCCCTGCAGGCCAGACTGGGAGAGGGGTCCTGCCACTGAGAGCCTGGGGCCGTGTGGTCACTGCCAGAGCAAGCGTGTCCAGCCTGCAGCCCCCCTGCAGCACAGCCAGGATCTATAAGGGACCTATAAGGAACAGACAGTGAACTGTCCTTACACTCTGCAAACTGCTGTTTTGATGTCCCCATGCTTCAGAGCAGGACTGTGTGTTCTCATTTAACCAGTCTCAGTTTTTCTTATTCTTTTCTCTTTAATCAGTTGATGTTTAATACATTGTATTTGCTTTGAACTTTATGAAATGATCACTGGGCCAAGAAAGCCTGCAGCGTGAAGAGAGCACCTCGGAGTGGGGACACCCTAGCCCCTGCCCCAAGTGACTACAAGGTCAGGGATTAAGCCCCAGGAAACCTGGGCCCAGCCTTGTGGGGGTTTCGAGGACTCTGCTACTCAGGAGAGTGGAGGAGGAGCCCTCAGGATAAGGGAGGCCGTGGGGTAAAGGAAGTAGGAGTGGGGACTCAGATCCTTTCGCTGGTCCATTTCACCGGGGTAGTATAGAAGCCAGGAAAGTTCCCCACAATAGCGGGACCATTCTCCTGCTTACATTTGGAAGCCCCAGGGGCCACAGTGATACCCACAGCACATGCAGAGGGCCACAACTTAAGCGCGGCTGCATATATATGCAAGTATCTATGCAACTATATATAAATAGTGTCTTTCACACTGATAGGCATGAATATAAAGATTAAGGCAAGACTACACAACACACAGGGCCCATTTAAGTCAGTCCTGCTGATATTAATAAAATGCAATATTTACCCGATTTCCACCCATATGACTGCACTTGTGAGGAGGCTCCGCCACCTCTTGCCGCCCCCGCACCTCCTGCCGGCTGGCAGCTCCTGCTCAGGCGCAGCTTTTATCAGAGCCATGCCATGCGGCTCTGCTTCTGGGGAGGCTCTGCCGCCTCTTGCCGTCCCCTCCCCCACTGGCCAGTAGCAATCAGGCAGGTAGGCAGCTCAGGAAGTGGCTCAAGGCGCCGCAGGCCGTGTGTTGAGTAGCCCTGTTCTAGAAAGACTGAGACCACTTTAATGAATTAGCCCACACTCCTGTCACCTCTCTCAGATGAGAGAGAGAAGAATCTCCTGAACAGTAGTACTTCATGCAGATAAGAATGGGTGGCTGTCCTCTGTTGGCTGGAGGTGATCATTCATTGGCGCCATTAAAGCAGGTTTTTTTTACATTTTTAAATTTTTATTTCTGTGGTTGGAAAAAAAACTTTTTAGGTTGGTGGTTGCTTAATAGACAATGGAAAATGTCAATGCTCTGGAAAATGTCAATGAAAGCGAGAGCTTTTTTTGTTTTGGAGACATTTCTCGTGGTAGGAAAATACATTTTCTGACCAGTTTTATCTAAATAACTTTCAGAAGGTCAAAAATAAAATCTGTAGGAGAGATGATATTTGAACACAAGTGTTCCTGTCTGTCCAGATGTTTACACAGCACCGGTCACCATGCTTAGCAGAGTGCCTTTGTAATATCTTAGTCTTGGTCAGACATATATCTAAGGCAGTGGTCCCCAACGCGGTGCCCGCGGGCGCCATAGTGCCCGCCGGGGCATTTGTGTGCGCCCGCCTAGTGACCAGGGCCAGCCCGAGCCATTCTTGCGCCCCGGGCTCCCGGCGAATGCACGGCCCCTACTCTGGGCATGCGCCATGCGCGGTGCTACCCCCGGGCGCCCAGCAGCCCCAAAAGGTTGGGGACCACTGCTCTAGACTTTAGACAGACTGGAAGAAGACAGTTACCTATTTCATTACTGGTGTTCTTCCAGATAAGTTGCTTATGTCCATTCCTTATTAGGTATGTCAGCTCGCCACATGCTCTGGTGCCGTAACGGCCCCGGCCCTGGGGCACATACCGGCGCCGGGTGCAAGGGCATCTCCACCCCTGGCGTGCCCCAGGATGCGTGGCCCCGCCCCCGGGCGCCCAGCACATGCGTGGCCTCACCCCCCGGGCGCCTGGCACGTGAGTGGCCCCGCCCCGGGTGCCTGGCGCATGAGTGGCCCTGCCCCCGGGCGCCCGGGAGCCTCTATAGGTTGGGGACCACTGATCTAATGTATTATATGTACCTGGCAAGACCTCACTTATTCTGGTCTGAATTCTGCATTTCTTAAGCAGGAAGTGGGGCTGTACATGCCAGTGATATTTTCAGGTGTGAAAAGAATGCAGGATTGGGCCATGTGGATTGGTGCTATAGTCGTTTTGCAAAAAAAGGGCAACTTAAAAATAGAAGCTCCTTACCTTCATTGTATGGCTCCTATTACCATAAGGGCTATATGGTCTAAGGATGAATACATTTCAGTTTGAAAGCTGGGGCAAACCAGAAACCCATGAACTGCAGAGTTGCTTAAATATAGCTTTTTGTTAAAAGTAATCTTCACATACTTATTAGTATTTTTGACTGACAATCTAATTTTTTTTTTTTGTGCAGGTCAGTGATTTTATCAGATCAATTGCTTACCATTGTTCTTGAAAGACCTATTACCTTTTCTTCGCTCTCTCTCTCTCTCTCTGACAATAGCATATTGGGCTACCCTTCCCAACAGGGCCGGCCCGAGCCCTTTTGGCGCCCTGGGCGCATGCGTGACCCGGCCATGGCTGCTGGTGCGCAACCTGGGGCCTGCCCCCGGGGCTCACGGCGCATGCGTGGCCCAGCCTGGCCTGGTTATTGCTGCTGGCGCGCGTGCCGGCCCATGCAGGGCCCCACGGCTGTGGGGGGAAGGGCGCTGCTGGCTGGTGCTGTGGGCACAGCGCTGGGTGCCCAGCGCCTGATGGCAGCTGTAAGGGATGCCGCGCGCTCCTTACAGCTGCCATCAGGCGCCCGCCATCGGTTGGCACCCCGGGCAGCTGCCCAGCTCGCCCATGCCTCAGTCCAGCCCTGCTCCCCACCTCAGTGCATGCACTCTCGGTGACATTTATATTCTTAGCTCAAGCAGCTTTTTTGTTCGGAGAGTTCATTTTCTCTACCACATAAAGTGGATCTTATCTTCTGCTGTCAAGTACAACTTGCCACCTGGAACATATTCATTCCAGACTTTGCATAGTAATCTGGTTGGAGAGAAACTGTTGTCCCAGTCATTTATGATAAGGGAGAGAGCAATTTTCTCACACATTTCTCCTCTCTGCTTCCATAGGGAGATTCAGTATCTTTTAGGACACCCGTACCTAAACCTGAACAACTTGGCCAACGGCTGGGACCCAAGCTTGATTTAACTTTGTGTAACACTGGTATTGAATATTGAAAAGAACAAATACCATAAGGAAGGAATATCCAATCCATAAACTGCGCCATCCTTCAGGGCAGTGTGGAATAGACACATCTTGACTATGCACAGCAATTGCAACAGCTGGGGCTTCACAGACAGAACAACGACTGATATATGGTCTAATTTCGTTTTCTGCCACAGGCATCATTGGAAGAGGTGCTGTAGTTGAGAGCCAGTAGGATTTATCATTTCGATTTGCATAATAACAGAGGTCCCCAGGGTTACAGTAGAGGAAAGGCATGGTACTAAAGCGAGCCAAACAGGATCCAGCCAGCCCTGCAAAGGAAAAAAAACAACCAAAACCGATCACAAATCTTTAGTTTGTGCACATTCAAGATTTTATTTGTAGCTTATTGTGTATACCTGTATAAATTATTCATCAGTGAAGCTCTTTCAGTAACATTTAACTGGGGTATTATAGCCCCACTCAAACTTCAGTAGTGATCTGGAGAAACCACTTCCAGAAGGAGATAGAAGAATGGAATTAAAGTCCAATCTGCAGTCATTTCTAGGCATCCTAGCGTAATATGTGCCAAAGTCCAAATTTCCAAGAAATGGCTTTAATGGTGTATACCTCTAGTTTTGAGTTGTAAAATCAAATTAATATCTTATCTTTTGACATTTTCAAAGAACCATATACATACCAAGGTCCTGGTTATGTGCTTTTTCCTGTCCTTCAAAGTACAGTAGACTGTAGCCACTCCAGAGTTTATTCATACCAACTGGACACATTGGCTCTTGCTCAGACTGGCTATGCTTCACCAGAAGGTACCCAATATTAACACTGCGACCTGGCATACCTGGTAGCCCAGGGTTACCTGGATGGCCTGGTTCACCTTCGGGGAAATAAATGGAAAGAGACAATAAATGGAAAGAGACAAAGAGTAACTGGAGGACAGACATTTTAGACTCTATCCTGACCATCAGGGAGGCATTAGTGGCAAATCTGAAGCTGGAAGCCAATTTGGGTGACAGTGATCATGACATACCCGATTTCATGATTCTAAGGAAAGGAAGGAGTGAGGGCAGCAGAATAAGGAAAATGGACTTCAAAAAAGCAGAGCTGATAAGTAAGGTCCTACTGGAAGAAAATCTAAGGGGGCCAGGTGAGCTGGCAGTTCCTCAAGGAGATAATACTAAAGGCATAATTGCAAACTATTATAACAAAGATAGGAAGAATATTAAGAGGCCAACAGGGCTTCCTCAGGACTTTGAAAGATTTGTTTTTGATTTTCAGGTCATTAAAAACTGGAAACATGGTCAAACTGATAAGGAGTATAAAAGAACAGCCCAAGTGTGTAGGGACAAAATCGGAAAGTCTAAGGCACAAAGTATGTGACATCTGGCAAGGTACATACAAGGGAAGAAGAAGGGGTTCTTTAAATACATTGAGATAAAGAGAAAAACAAATAAAAGTGTAGGTCCTCTGCTTAGACAGAAGGAGAGCTAATAACTGATTACTTGTACAAAGTGAAGACGCCTCCGTGCCTACATTGATTAAAAACAAGATTAATGATGACCTGAAGCAATCTTGGAATCCTTACCGCACGTCTACACAGCAGCATTATTTTGGAATAACTGATGTTATTTTGAAATAACAAAATGTGCATTTACACATTATTTCAAAATAATGTCAAGCTGGAATACTTCTTTCTTCGACTCCTGTAACCCTCATTTCACGAGGAGTAAGGGAAGTTGAAGGAAGAGTGTGTAGACAGTGTTAAAAGCCAAATTAAACTATTTCAACTTTAGCTACTCAATTGATGTAGCTGAAGTTGTGTATCTTAATTCGACTTTTGCCCTGGGGTGTAGACGTGCCCTTAGCTATTATCTTTGAGAACTCCAGGAGGATGGGAAAGGTCCCAGAAGATGGAGAAGGGCAAACACAGTACCTATCTGTAAAAAAGGGAACAAGGAGGACTTGGGGAATTATAGGTCAATCATCTCTAACTTCAATTCCTGGAAAAATACCAGAGCAAATCATTAAATGATCAGTTTGTATGATCATTTAATACAATGAGATTTAATACTATAGCTGAGCAAATAATTCACAAATAATTCTCTGATAACTTTAGCCTCTTTCTGCTCATTCAGTATAGGCAAGCAGTGATTTTCTTTTAAAATTTATTTTTCATCTAAAATTACCTGTCAGATTTTTTGGTTGACATTTTACCCTATGAAGTGATTGTGAACAATTCTCTGAAAATATTCACTATTTTACATTCTTATCTGGTCTGGTCTGATTTGTATTTGTTCACTAATTCATATAGTAATCTTTCTGGTTCTTAACTAGACGCATTCACAAACACTTGTACTACAACTGTTCATCCGTTTACCTCCTGCATGAATTTTCTATTTCCATGAACGTTCCTGTTGGTAAAACATTATTGCTGGCACGTTTACTGAAAGCCAGTACAGAAGGAGCACAAGGATTAAAACAAATTAATTCAAAAATTGAGGGAATGTTCATGGAAAACATTCGCACTGAGATCTAGTTATGATACTTAGGGTGCGTCTACATTGCACTATTATTCTGGGAAACAATCCTGGCATCCACACAGCAATTATGTTATTTCGAAAGAAAATTGAAATAATGGAGGGCTTTTTCCTACATTGGTAAACCTCATTTCATGAGGAATAACGCCTCTTTCGAAAAAACTCTTTCGAAAGAGGGTGTGCGCAAACGCTCCACTGCTGCTATACTGAAATAGCTCCTCACTAGGGCCATTCTAAGTTATTCTTCCCCAGTGCCTCCTGGAGGCTCTAAATAGAGGTAGTGCGTCCACATTTGGGGAGCCTGCTTCGGACTAATTTGGAGGCTTCCCTGTAGTGTGGACGCTCTATTTCAAAATAAGCTATTCTGGAAGATATCTTCTGGAATAGCTTTTTCCGAAATAAGCTTGCCGTGTAGACGTACCCTTAGTTTTAAAGACAGTTTAAAACTATTTCTATTAAAACTATTCATCAGCAAACCTAATAAAAGCACGGGAATATGATATAAGCATTGCATCAGAAGGATTAACAACTATAAAAAGATAATATGCTAACAGAAGATTTACAGTGTGAAATGGGGAAAAGAAAAGAAAAAATGATAATGCAATATCACTTACCCTCAATGCCTGCCAGACCCGGAAAACCTGATGGTCCTTGATCTCCTCTGAAACCTGAAGGAGCTGATATGCCGCCTCTTCCTTGGAACCCTGGTTTACCCGGTGGGCCTCTAAAACCTTAAAACCACCAAGTTCAACATGATCAGACATGTTTGATTTTTTTTTTAAGTACAGAAAAGAATACACCCAAAGTACAGTTCTGTTCTGACAAATTACCATGGAAACCCAGCCCCTAATTACGCAGCAGATCAGTCATACCTGCAAAGTATGTCAGTTAAATAAAAGCAAGAGAGTGTGTTGCTTGCCCAGACCAAGTTCCTCACTGAATTTTTAATGGCAAATTTTGCCTAAGAAACGAAGCAAGATTGGGTTCCATAATTCTATTATTTCTTTTGCCTATTACCACAGGTACTGACTCCATGGGTGCTCTGGGGCTGGAGCACCCACTAGGAAAAATTAGCAGATGCTTATCACCCACCAGTAGCCAAGCTTTCTCTCGGCTTCCCTCCCTCCTAGCTCCAGTCATGCACTGGTGGCCTTGCCATCCTGAAAGAAGCTGTTTTGCAGCATTCAGAGGCTTCAGGAGTGAGGGGAAGGAGTGAGGACATAGTGTGCTGGGGGATGGATGGGAAGAGGCAAGGCAGGATGGAGGCTTAGGGGAAGGGCTAGAGTGTGGGTGGGTTTGGAGCACGCCCGGGGAGAGGCAGAGTTGTGGTTTGGGGAAGGACTGGGACAGAGCATTGGGGGAGGGAGAACCTTCCAGCCAGGGCAGGAGTTAGCACCAATGCCTGTTACCGCTGCAAACTCCATATAAACTACAGGGCTGTGTCTAGACTGGCAAGTTTTTCCGCAAAATCAGCTGCTTTTGCGGAAAAACTTGCCAGCTGTCTACACTGTCCGCTTGAATTTCCGCAAGAACACTGACTTCCTACTGTAAGAAATCAGTGCTTCTTGTGGAAATACTATGCTGCTCCCGTTCAGGCAAAAGCCCTCTTGGCCAGTGTAGACAGCACAGTACTGTTTTGCGCAAAAAAGCCCCGATGGCTAAAATGGCAATCGGGGCTTTTTTGCGCAAAAGCGCGTCTAGATTGGCACAGACGCTTTTATGCAAAAAGTGCTTTTGCGGAAAAGCATCCGTGCCAATCTAGATGCTCTTTTCGCAAATGCTTTTAACAGAAAACTTTTCTGTTAAAAGCATTTGTGGAAAATCATGCCAGCCTAGATGTAGCCCAGGAGAAGAATGGAATTCAGCTCAAAGTATCACCAACAGAACTGTTAAATGACGTTCAGCTGCAATGTCAGATTTTGCGCTCTGGTATATGTATATCTCAGCTAATGGAGTCAGTTTGGCTTCATCTAATATGACAATCAGAACTAGTGTGGGGTTTATGGGGATCACAGAGACATGCAATTAAGTTGCAGCTGGTGAAGATGTGCATGCTGCACAGCTTCACTTTGATTGTCAGGATTGATTTTTCAGGGGTAGCAGTTAAAAAATTAATTCTTTCCCTTGTGACTTCAATTTCATTTAAAATTAATAGGTTGGGAACCCCCCAGCACTACTTCTATAGAAGTTCTATTCTGAGCAGCTCTACACTTCAGGAGTAATGCAAAATTCCTACCTGGGTCACCTGGATTCCTGGGGGAAATATTTTTCCTTGTGGGCCTGTTGCACCCTTTTGAGTGACCAGCTTTGGAGGGACTGCAGGCAGCCCAGGAGATCCAGGAGGTCCCTCAATACCTGAATTATAAAAAGAAAGAGTGAACGAGTTTTCAGATAGAACACCTCCCTTTCTTTGGTGTGCACTATGTCTATCACTCAGTGAGGTACTGAGGCTGGACATTTGAGATTACTATAAATATGAGAGCTGATGTACCCTAAGCCATAAAGTTCAGCTGCAGATCTGGGGTTGAAATTTTCAAAGTTTGGGGAGGTCACTTGGTTTCTTGGAAGGCAGGGAAATCATTCCAGACTTATGGGATTGTGTAAAAACAGGCAAAAATAGATGAGTAGAAGGAAACAAAGGGAATAAAAAGGCAGAATAGTGGGTTGAGTGTAGGTTGTGATGTGAAGTGTTGTAAAAAACTAGAATAAGATATAGCACTATAGGTTTTTGGGAAAAGGAAGATACATGAGAGTTTATATTAGTAAGGCCTAAGGTTGCTTACATTTCCAAATATCTTGATCTACTCTGGTGAGCTAGTGCTGAAGGTGTTATAGTTTTTGTGTGGGTGTCATTTGAAAGGATTTGGAAAAGCCGCTAGAGTTTGGAGCTGGACCTTTTGACTTACTTATACAGTAAAATCAATTGTAGCTGGGAGCCAAATTTCACAACTGGCCCATATTAGTAAGGCCTAAGGTTGCTTACATTTCCAAATATCTTGATCTACTCTGGTGAGCTAGTGCTGAAGGTGTTATAGTTTTTGTGTGGGTGTCATTTGAAAGGATTTGGAAAAGCCGCTAGAGTTTGGAGCTGGACCTTTTGACTTACTTATACAGTAAAATCAATTGTAGCTGGGAGCCAAATTTCACAACTGGCCCA